ATTTAATTTCTAGGACAGCAGTGTGTCTCAAAATTCTTTTATGTTATGCAAATTAGGAAAATATGTTGGCATCTGACCTTAGACTGTTATGCCAGCAAAACTGCCTGCTTAGTTGCTGTATTTGCTGTTTTTGCAACTCATGAGATTAAGTTACTTGATGCAGTTCTAGCTCAGAAGAGAAAATGTTGTGGGACTTATTGGAAACTGCCGGGGGGGGGGGGGGGAGCACAGAAGTTGGATGGCTTTGTATATAAGCAATCTCTTTTAAAAATAATCAGTAGCTGTAAAATTTAGTACAACCACTTAAAAAGAGCAAAGGATCAAAACAAACAACACCTAAACAGAGTTCATGCTTGCTGTCCTCCTGGAACCATAGTTAAAAAACGATTACGTAGCTAACTTGGTTATTTGGTCTCTGTTGGACATAATTAAATTAGTTTCGGCAACATCCTGATTCTTCAGCATTACCAAGGAATGATTCATCTTGCTCTTTATGCATTCCATTTATGCTCAGATGTTCTTTGGAGCATACTTCCAGCAGTTATTACATGCAGTCTTCCTTTGACTTGGGCAAACTTTTAAAGCGGTCACTCCCCAAGTGCTCCATTAAAGTTACTAAGCAAGAATGTTTAGCTATGATTTTCATAAGCCTGTTCCACCCGTATTTCAAAAACAATGCAATTGAAACTTATTTGGAAATATAAACTATTCAGGAAACCCAAACCATAGACATTAGCATATGAATAATAGTAAAATAAAATATATTAACACTATTTTAAAAACATAAAGTTTTAACTTCACATTAGAAAAAATGCTCCAGCCTTTTTTGTTCATTTTTTCCTTCCCCAAACATAGTGGACATGCTCACTGAGGCCATAACACTTCAAGAGCAGCATAGTGTTTTCTCATTATCTAAACTAAAATCTTGTGCATGCTTTTCTGCGCTTGAAGTGTGGTCAAATAGAATTAGTTCTGGCAAAAACTTCAAAAGAGATGATATGATCCAATTTCACAGGGTTTGATGATCCCATGGAACAGTTCCACTCTAGGAATAGCTCTTGTGCAAGCGGAAATAAAAAATCATCACAAGCAGCCCTTGTTCTAAGTCGACCTGACTGTATCCCATCTTGTGTTTCCCTTGGAGCAAGACTTAGTGCAGGTTATATCTCAGGAAAACCTCCTCTCCCCCCCCCCCCCCGTGACGTTCATTGATCAATTTGTATCACCAGTCCACATAGGACTGTAATGAATGCATCAGATAGCCTTTGCCTCGATTTTTATACACAGCAGCAGTGATTGGAAATGAAAAACAGTACTTGATCTTACAATAGTTCTTTCAAATGGAACAGCACTCAGTAAAACTTTTCTCCCTCTGTCACATGCCAGGATCCAATCCATAATGTCCTCCTGAAAAAGAGTACTTTTTGGAGACATTAATGCATTTATTATTGCCTTATGCCTTATTGTTCTGGATTTTGTTGACGACATCTCCTTTCATTTTTTTCAAGGCAACCTTGTTGAGCTCTTGTTTGTATCCTATAGGTAAGTTTGTCAAAGGAGTTGGCAAACCTAGTATTTCCTTCTGTGTATCCCAAAAGCCCTCTGCTGCCAGTCACGGTACCCCCCCCCCATATCAGTGAGGAAGAGGGATCAAGTAAAATAGGATCTGTCTCTCACTTCTGCTATTGGAGACTTTGTGCCACTGTTGGTGTCTGTGCATGTTACAGGGGTTGATTTCATCCAGTTCGCCCTGTGATGGATGGGAAAAGGCCCTGCCCTTTCTGGAAACAAACACCAGTCCCCTTTAGTTCTGTTTGATGTGTGAGCAGAGCAGGTAGCATCCAGTCAGGATCCTTGGAAGGGAGGAGGAGCCAGATGGGAGTGGGAAATGAGAGAAAGAGGAGACTCCCCCAGTTTTTAGTTAGATAGGGCTTGTGACTCCAGAGTGACGGGCTAAAGAGGTCCTGTCTCAGGGGATTCCAAAAGTATCCAACTCTGTCTGCCTTTTGAGTGGGAACAGGTAAAAGCAGTAAAGTGGTGGAGATAGAATTTTGCCTCCAGAGGACTGGGCTGAAATAAATCCTTTGCTAGGAGACTGTGGTGTTTTAGAGTCTAATATCTGGGGCAAACATGGCAGTTGACTGCTCAATGCACCCCTAAATTATAATCTGTAAATTTATAAATGAGCTGGCTTTCAACAAGACTGCTATACCTGTATACAGTTTCTGTCCTCTTACTGCAAGGGTCCCTATCCCAGGGGGTAAAGCGAAGTTACTGTCTTTACCTGTTCCCCTTATGGGTGCTGGACTTGGTACATTCAGAAACCACGTGGGTTAAGTCCGTTGGGTAGAGTGTTGGGGTACAGACTGGACCTGTCAAGCTTCCCATCACACTTCCTCTGTTTCAGCGTCAATTAAGGCTCTGACCCTTAAAGTCCCTTTACTGCAGTCTGCCATGCTGTGGTCCAGGACTCTCTGTGGAGGATTTTCAGGGCATTCTGGGAAAGGGCAAGGCAGGAAGTCTTGCTCCTCCAACACTTTCCATAAGCAGTTATAGGATCCACTTCTAAATTATTTCTTAAGGTACTGATTAGCTTCTTCACATGGATTTGTTGTATATCTTTATTTAAATCTTCTCTTGCTGTAGGCTTGTTGATGTTGACTTTTTATGTAGAAAAATCAACATAAATTCATATCTAAAAATATTCAGGATTGAGGGCAGGAATTGCAGCGTGCAGAATTCATTATGCTTTTCCTCATTTGTGTCCTCTCACCTTCAGCATCACAAATCCTGTTTTCCTCCCTTCTTTCCACCTATCCTCCTTCTTTAATTTTCTCTCCTTTTTCCTTTTTCTGGAGCTTTTGTTTAAAGCTAATTGGAACCATCACATATGGAAGGAGATGTGAAGCACGGTGGAAAGGAGGGTGAGCTGTAGATGTTGATCAACATGATGTGCAACTTGTATTTGTCATAAAGATTTAGCCCGGTAACCAATGCTACTTCTAAGCTATGGAGTCACAAAAACCAATGCTACTTCTAAGCTATGGAGTCTTATGAGCAAAAATTCTACTTTGTGAGCTACTGGCATTAAAGTTGTGAGCAAGCAATTTGGCTACTGCATAAGTTAGTATACTCTGGAGCTATTCTTCCTGAGCTAAGTCAAAAATATGTGAGCTGGAGGCTAAAAAAACTTTGAGCTAGCTCACACTAACTCAGCTTAGAGGGAACACTGCCAGTGACCACTGGCTAAAGTATTAGATTTCTAGAGTCATAAAAGAGAACCTTTTTCGTTCTAAGTAAAACCCTTTAGTAGCAGCTTAAAACTTCTGAAGAGGAAAAACTGGTGTGAACAGAAGATTTGAAAGGACATACCCAGTAATGATTTTGGCTTTCATTTATGCTGCATTGTGGGAATCCCACTTGACTATAGCAATGGACGATAGTACTCAAATGCTACAAGAAATGGAGCCAGGTGCTCATCTGGGAACTGCTCTGTAGTAGCAGATATACAGCTGCCAAGCTGTGAGCTGCAGAACAGGCATTTACCTTCGTTCACATGCATCAAAATGGTGATTATGTAGTTGAACCTGTTGCTGGTGGGTCTTCTTTAGTTCTTCCATCCTTTCTCCTTTTCCACCTGAAGCAGCGTGTGCTGGCTGTTGCCTGAGACCAATTGAAGGCTTTCGGATACAGGTTTTGTTGTATGGTTGCTTTTGTTTATAGTAAGAAGGACAATCCACACCAAAGCAGATGCCCTTTATTCTGTTGACTTGTATAAAATATAACTCAATTCAGCAACTCACTTCAGTGCAATTAAATAAAAAACTCTGAGCTCCCTTTAGGATAGTATCAGAGGACAGCTGTGATGGTCTGCAGTAGAACAGCTGGAGTCCAGTCCAGTAGTCCCTTAGAAACCAACAAGATTTGGGGGGGGGGGGGGGTTACGC